CTTTTTTCACAAAATTAATTTTAATGAAAAAGGGGTAAAACAAGCGTTTTATGAGGGGTAATTACCCCTATGCATACCTCTCTAGTGAGATAATCATTTAAAACTATTATCAAGGTTATGATTAAGGTTATAAAGTTAAGGTTGGCCCAATGTTGAGATCCAGTTGATATGTCAACATTGACGAAGGGTTTACAAACACAGGTTGATTCAATGTTGAAATCCTGTTGATCTATCAACATTGAAAACTGATTGACAAAGAAAGGTAAAATCAATGTTGAGACCCTGTTGATCTATCAACATTGACAATTGGTTGACAAGAAAAGGTTGATTCAATGTTGAAATCCTGTTGATCTATCAACATTGAAAATTGATTGACAAAGAAAGGTTAAATCAATGTTGAGACCCTGTTGATTTATCAACATTGACAATTGGTTGACAAGAAAAGGTTGATTCAATGTTGAGATCTTGTTGATCTATCAATATTGATGGATCAACATCATCTCAACCTATCCTCAATGTTGAATCAACGTTGAGTGCCCGCTGGGTATTTCATTTGTACATGTATATGTGTCAGATATTCTCTAAGAGAATGGCGCCGTGGGCTAGAAGAATCACACACTCATAACTGGAGTTCTTCACATAACAAGTCACAAGTCATTTAGTCTTTGAAATATAATCTACTGCCATTATTATCTCTCGTATTATTGTTGCCGTTGTTGCCTTGCCTTAGGATGTGGTCATACGCGTGGAGATGCAGGACGAGAAACGGCAGCAGTTAGAACAAAAACGCCAGCAGCTGGAGGGAAAGAGGAACCAGCTGCTGAGGGAAAAGGAGCGAATGCTGCAGATCTACCACGACCTCCGATACACGGGAGAAAAAGCTTTGTCGGAGTAAGTCAGCGATATCTCTGTCGGGATGTCTTTTTAAATATGGTTGGTCAATTGAAAAGAGTAACGAAAGATGTTATGGAGTGGAAAAGAGCGTACTGCAAAAGTGCGTGTTTGTTCTTTCAAAAGTTCAGCAGTGCTTATCTCTACATGTATATACGAGAGAGAGAGAGAGAGAGAGAGAGAGAGAGAGAGAGAGAGAGTACAGGGGCAGGGTATGGTGTTAGCTAGAAGATAGGGAAGTTTGCATGGTTTTGTTGAAACAAACGTTTTACTATCACATTTAAACACTGGACCTCGTTTTCGTAATATCATTATGTTTTTCCTCGCATGAAGCGGTGAACGGAAGCTGGAGGAGAAGCAGGACCAGCTGAGGAAGCTTTGGGATCAGCATTGGAGAACAGAGAAGAAAGTTCTTCATGGGAAGAAACTCTACCAGACCCTGTCCGTCGCCACTGACAACCTTCTCAAGAAGCTGCATGGTATCACACTAAAGCCGGTACGTAACATGACTCTTTGCAGCCGTTCTTTGATCTCTTTGTTTTTTATCAATCAGTTTAACTTCTCATTTCTTTTGAACCAGTGAGCAACCATGGGCGCCACTATACTAGCGTTAAATAATTGCGAAGTAAAATGTTCGCGCTACAAATATTTGTTAGCTTTAAATGAACCTTTTTTTTATTTTTTGAAAATGGTCTGCAAAGAAAACGTGTTAACTTTTCATTAATCTCAGCAACTATGAGAAGGATCACAAGTAAACAAGTGTCACAATTTCATCTCCATTTCAGCCACACAATCGTCCCCGTACTGGTAACTTAAAGCACGATTTAGAGCTGTGCAAGGCAAAGCTGTCCGCGTTGTTGGAATCGGTTGACGTCAAACAGATAGAAGACGCCGAGGAAAATATATCGGCACCAGAGGTAACGCATCAACGTGTTTTACAGCTGCACAGATCTTCGAGTTATAAAGTGTTCTTCAAGACAAAAAGCATTTACTGTTTTTTGTTCTTTTCAGTGCGCACTTATGCTATATATTGTTTTATTATATATCTGGTACTGACGCGTATATATCTAGCTGCTTTTATAACAGTGCAGTGCAAAAAAAGTAAATGTAGATGTTATGGATCGCCCTAGTAATTAAAGTTGCTATCTCTTTAATCTATTACGTATATTGGGGATTCATGCATGATCATATTCAACCCTTCATAATTGGATTTCGGTTTTGCTGTTTATTGACAATATTAAATTGGGATCAATTCAGAGATGTATATGTAATAAACTTATTTATCTGTTTATTATTTATTGCAATAAGCTGTTTAAAGCGTAGGTACTAGACCGTTTTTGCTGCGTTAGCATGCTATTTATCCACATTATATTGCAGATTTTGATACCATTTTTAATAAAGTCGTTCGCATGGTTAATTGCGCGGTGTTTCTATTTAAAAAAATGTCCCAACCTAAACAGAATATATATGAAATAAGAAAAAACATCGCACAACCCCACTGCCAATTCAGAATGTGAGCGTGATACTTGAAAGTTTTGAAAAACAAAATGAGATGATGGGTTTTAGAGTATGATATCTTTCCATTCACTTCTAACTCTCCTTACAGTACCACGAGTTCCTGGAGTCCCGGCTTCCTTCCACCAATGTGAGGATCCACCTCGCTGAAAGCCTGGGATCTCTCACAGGTAGGTCAACTCACTGACACTAAAAGTTACCCCACTAATTTGAAAAGTAGAGTTGTTATGTATTCTGATTATCACGACTGTTTCTGGTCATTTATGAGGGTAACTACAAGATGAGAAAATAAGATCTCGCACAAAGTTTTAGATATTGTAACTGCACAGGTGTTTTGGGTATGGTTTCTTGAAGTGTAGATATTTTACATTTTTTGTCTTCATAAGGGTTTGATTTAATGTTAAAACACTCACTATGTGCCTTTAGACTCCACTTGACAAACATCGTGAACACAGTATGTTAATTACCAATTTGATTAATGTGACGAATCGAAAAAAGAATGCAATTTCTTTATTTATATATGTATGTGACCTTTTTGCAGGGAAGGTAGCCTACTAGCGTGTTCCAGTCATTTGACCTGCTTAATTTGTCATTTGTTAACCCCTGGGCCCTTGTTGAAACTCTGAATCCAAGAGTTGACAAATAAATTAATTTGATACAGCATTACTAATATACACGCCAAAACATAATCATGCTATCATTATCTTAATTAATTCCAGACTTCCACTACGATAGCCACACTGATGACACGGACGTTCTGACACGAGACGACATTAAAAGACAAGGCCAGGAATTGGCCGACGCTAAACTGAAACCCAAAAAGAAGAAACCCCGAAAGAAATAGACGACAATTCCTACACTGAACATTTTTTCTCTTCATTTATTTAATACATTTTATATTTATTGGTTAACATTTTCTATTCCGCTTTTGCTTCTTGCCTTTTGAAACACTAGAATTAAGTTTAACCTGAGTAACATGAAAAGAACATGAGTGAAAATTGAAAATTTTTCCATTGTCAGCACGATGCTGATTTGAAATGGACCGGGTAAAAAATATCAGTGATGTTCACGCTCATTCTTTTCCTGATACAAATAAATTAAAATCCTGGTATTGTTGAAGAACACCCGAGAGATTTCGAATTGAGTGAAAATATAGACAATAATGTTAGAAAAAGCGACGATTCATTTATTCTCGTTGTATATTCACAAAAACAAAATTGGAATAAAGATTTAAATCTTTTTAGCTAACAGCTTTGAATGTGTATGTTTTTACATCCCAAAATTTTACTTCTACATGTTGTGCACTGAACTTTTCAGCCAATGTGCCTATACCCTTTGTCACTATGTACATGTATTTGTATGATGAATGTAAGAGGAAAAGACCAGTGTGATGTCGTGTATTTTCGGGAAAAGGACAATGAACTGTGCAAGCATAATGTTAATATGTAGTTTAGGGGAGAAGACCATGATCATGAACTCTACAGTATTATGTCATCAGTAATAAAGGGGAGAGGACCATGAATACACCATTGAGAGAGACAGATTCAGCGAGGATCGAAGACGACCAACCCGTGCGTTTAACAGCGGCGGTCTGTATTTTACCCCTAATATTTTCACCACTTTGCCCTAAAACGAGATTGACGCACTGGGGAGACTGAGAAGATAACGACACTAGGCACGCTACAGGTAATTTTATTTTGGGGGGTTAATTGTCTTTAAACTTTGAATTGGGAAATATAAGACGCCTTCCAGGACATATTTGTGACTGTGGGAGATTTTCAAATGAGTGAAGAAAAACTAAAAAATACATTTTGGCTGGGAAATCCCACTGAGAGGACTTTCTGTTAGATATCAGCTTGGCTCGATCCGTCTTCGTCAGCTTTGGTAGGTTTAATGATGGGGGATCATCAATATCTTTACCGTCCGTCCTATATATATAGTTTTTTTTCAGTGAAAGTGACCGCTGCAGTTGTCTTTAAATAACACGTATACGTGCACTGTTATACACGTTTTCTGATATGTACTGGCTGCGCTAATGTTTACGCATGAAAACAAACAGTCCAAAAACTTTGAAATTTTGGGCACTACCCTTGAAAATGATCAGCATAGTCCAAAGAACATTTGTGCCAAGTTTCATGCTTTTTCCACCTTTTGAGCAATTTTTGCTCCAGTCATCTAGACTATGTAAAATGAATACTTGTGCATCCACCGTGAAGCGGGAATTCTCAATTTTTTACCATGCCTCTCATTTCCTCAACTCGTACCCTCCTGTACGGGGAACCATGTATTTTTCCCGTCGACAGAGTAGAAAAAATGGTAGACTTTATCTGCTTTTTATCTGCTTGTCAACCAGTTGGGTGACATTTCCTTCACGAGCTCTGAAAATAATCAAATGTTACATGTAGTTTCAAGCACGGTCAATATATACTGTACAAACAATAAAATAAACATACAATAAAATAATGATAGGGCTTAAATATTTTTAAAAAATGAGTTAGAATGAAGACCTGAAACCGTTGATTAAATCCTTTAAAAACCTCTTACTCAACTTAATATAACAGACTTTCGCGTTGCTATGTAAGAACTAAAATCAGAGTGACTTGAAAAAACGCGGAAGAAAAGATAAGTTCTTTACCATAGGATGCGTGCAAATATTGATTGAAATGTGTAAATACCTTACTCAGCGCACACCTTTGGCTTCCTTGTTTCACATTCTCATTCTGCAGTGCAACGTTTAAAGATTAGGAGTCTCATTCGTACTTTCTGTCGTTTTATTCGTTTGTCCATTCTACAAAGGAAAACTTAGGCTGCGCAAATTTTGTGATCCAAGTACGTACACTGTATATGTATAATATCGATCTTTAAAGTTGCGATTAGGACATGGCTATACTGTTTTAGAGCACATAACAAGCAACTGGATGAGTATATCATGCTACTTTCTCTCTCTTTGTGAGTGCGTATTATAGGCCTACTTCAAATGATAGGCCTACATGTATTATTTTCAAAATGGACTGTTAAGAAAACTAGAAACAAAATTTGAATGTATGGTTAAGGCACAAGTTGTTGCAGAGCAGTCGCATTATTGTTGTATTTCTCAATTCTCACATTTTACAGGATGCTTCGTCTTCCTCAACTGATCATTGCTTACCTGGTGGTTTTATACATCAGTAACAGAGGGCAGTGTAAGCGTTCGGGCGTTTGCAAAGAAAAGGTCCAAAACGGAGGAACCCTTTTTGTAGACTGCAGTGGTCTTAATCTGACGTCACTGCCGGAAATTCCAGAAGACGTCAATCATCTGGTACTTTCACAAAATCCGCTACAAAATATATCGAACAACGTATTTTGTAGATTTAGATTTAAAATGTTACAAGTTCTGGAATTAAAAAACTGTCAGCTTTCAAAGCTGGCGCCCGATGCATTTGAATGTTTACGTGACCTTCAAGAACTGCACTTGGATTTGAATAATCTAACACGTGCTAACGCGGCAATATTCAATCCTCTAAAAAAATTAGTAAAGCTATGGCTTACATCAAACTGTGGCATCATGAACACCTACCCTCTCTCTAGGTTTTCCTCGCTAGAAAGCCTCCAGGAGCTTTATTTGGATAAAACTTGTTTGACAAATCTTCCAAGGTATACATTCCTGACAAACAAAAGACTTACACGTCTGTCTCTTAACGACAACCAGCTTACACGAGCGGCACTGTCTGCCATTGCTCAAAATGAAACACGATCTCTGTCTTTCGTGAACCTCAGCAACAACTCCATTGAATCTTTGAGAATACCAGGCAATAATAAAATATACGCCAACAACATAGAGCTGGATCTCAGTGGCAACAGCTTACGTAGCATCAGCAAGCTGGATCTCGTAGGCTATGAAGAAACAACGGCGTTAACATTACATTTAAATTCAAACAATATCAGCGTGATTGCAAGAGATAGTTTTTCTAAGATGAAGAGTCTACATCTTCTGGACTTGTCAAAGAACCCTCTCTGTAGGCGACTGCATGCTGGAAAAGATGGCGCCGGCTGTCCCGCCCTGAGTAACCTCACGGAAGGCCTCGGTATGGCAGGGACACAGCTGACGAATTTGAGTTTGTCTAAGATACGCTGGAAAGCGGACAGATTGGACCTAAGGATGATGAACATGTTAGGAAGAACAGGCCTGGAAGTTCTGATCATCCAGGGCAATAGTATAGGTGGCGTTGGTGAAGGTGCCCTGGGAAATATGACGAAACTGCAGACTTTAGACATGGCAAATTGCAATATTAAAGAATTTTCTCCCTTGGCGTTTTCGAAAAGAAATCGATTGAGAAACTTTAATTTGAAAGGGAATAAAATCCAAAAAGTTTCTGTTTTGGACCTTATACCAAAATTAAAACACCTTGAATTCCTAGATATCAGTGGCAATGGCCTTGGCATTCAGAAGCCTTATGTTGTCATCAAAAAGTGCACATCACTTCAAATTTTAAACCTATCAAAAAACCGTCTCCCTCCGAAAATAATGTTCCACGACCTTAGTTCGCTAAAGACTTTGCATTTAAATAGTGTTGTTGACCGGAAAGGAGGTTTTAATCTTATTGACTTGACTCTGAGGAATATGACAAGCCTAGTAAACCTAACTTTCGAGTTTAACAATGCTTATCTCAAGTGTGATTTGAAAAACGCCCGTATATTCAGCGCGGTTCCCAGTTTGAATACCTTATCTCTGGCTAACAACAGCCTTGGTCAAACAAATCCGGCCATCCTCAAAAAGATGTTCAAAAACCTAGGACAAATTTGGAAACTTCGCCTTTCGGGCAACGGGTTGGTGGAGCTCCCTCTGGGGATGTTTGACGACTTAGTTCAAATGACAGACTTACATTTGCAGGTGAATCAGATCACGACTCTCCCGGCCGGTATCTTTAACAAATGTAAAAAACTGGCACACGTTAACGTGGAAAACAATAAAATAATCAGCATCAGTGAGGGAGTTTTATGGGCCATTTTACCTACGTCAGGTGGGTCACTGAGGCAATTGGATTTAAGCGGCAATAAATGGACTTGTGACTGCGATATTCGGTGGTTTGTCCATTGGTTGCGGAATACGCGGGTGCTGCTCAGTAAAGGCAAACAGGAGCACTGTAACTTGCCTTCAGATCTAAGGCAGCTCAAGTTGGTGGATTTTTGTCCCGCGTGGATAGAATGCGATAATCACCTACTACACCTGACCGCTGGATTGACATCATCCGTCGTTGCCATTACGCTTACGTCTTATTTGATTTTCATATTTCGTTGGGATATAAAATACGCCTGGGTTATTCGAAAAACGAGACGGAATGCGCGCCTACGCAACGGCTACGTTGAAATACCTGACGAGAGGTACGCCGCTTTTGTCTCGTATTGTAGTAAAAATACAAAATGGATTAAAGATGAACTCCTCAAAAACGTAGAAGAGAGTGACGACATGGGCGCGCCGTTAAGACTCTGCATTTACGAGAGAGATTTTATCTGTGGAAACCCTATAGTGGACAATATCGAAGAGTACATGAATCAGACGACCAGGGTCGTGTTTGTTGTCACCAGCGACTCTCTTCAAAGTAGACTGTGCGACCACGAGTTTAAGGTAGCCCAAAACAAACTGTTTGAGAAACGCATAACCAGTATCATTTTCATTCTTCACGAGGATGTAGATAAGAAAACGATCCCAGATAATATGCAGACGATGATGCGTCACACGACCTGTTTGTGTTGGCCGGAAAATGGCACGATGCGCCAAAAGACGGTGTTTTGGAAAAAGATCAGATTAGCTTTGTTGAGATGAAGCAATTGCATTTCATTCGCTTAAATGGAATTGCTTAAAACCACCTCCTAAGGCGGTGTTTTGGATAAAGAATTAGCTCTGATATTCACCTGAATGAATGGGATTGCTTGTAGTTAACGGCTTTTAACAATGTATATGTAGCTGCATTTTGTCTCCGACAAGAAGCTAATGTTTTTGGGACCGTTAGCTGCTTAGTTTAGTTTGTCTGATTGCATTATGCAGGCGTTATGGCAGGATTTTGATGAAATAACAAAGAGAGGTCAGAAAAGGGCTTATTGAAAAGTGATTTAATCACTTTTATCACAAAATCACAAATTTTTAAATGTTTGGTTGTGATCCATTAATTAATGTAATGTTAATTATTAGTTAATTATTTGTTTTGGCGGAGTCTACGGTCTCTTGGTGCTTTTTTATTACTCGAATTATCTGTTCACAAGCTACCTGTTTTTCTACTTGAAGGAGGGCTATGGGACAACCATGTAGTACATAGTATATTACAATGCACATGCATACACATAAGTGTACATGTATATTGGGTAAGGATTCTTACTATCTCATATCATTGCCAATCAATATGAAAGTACTATCATTTGCTTCGAATAAATAAGTGTACTCATATTAAAATATTCCTTCCATCGTTATTAGAGATTTTACGGTGAGAGCAAGTTATTGCAGTTCTTTGAATCCTTAAATAAACTTTCTATCTTTTTCATTGCAAAAAAAAAAAAAGTCGGTTAGCTTGTTCAGACGAGACATGCTTCAGACCGGAAAGGGGAGCTACTATGAGATGCCCCAAGATACTCTCTTGCCTCTATATCATTTTGACTCTTATGACCGTTATCTAAAATATAACTTTATCCATGGAATTATCCTGCATAGTTTCTTGCATTATCGTTTTTTTTTTTTTTTTTTTTTAATTTTTTTTTTTTTGATGACGCTTGCAAGACCTATTTTCGTGTATTTTTGTTTATAAAAGATTTCGTCTGAACTTATCTCGTGCTTTGAATTTGGTGTCATGTCAACTTCAATTTTGCACCGCACTCGAGTATGAATATTGTTGACCATGATCTTAACTTTGCTCGTAGTGAGGGCTTAATGGTTTATATATATATTTGAGAGGGTGGCGCTTTAGGCTCTGTATAATTTTCGTGGTGACTATCATTAGAAGGTCCATGATCCTACAGACACACCGTCCACACGCACCTAGAATTACTTTCTTGAATACCGGGGAAGAGAGGCGGGGAATGTTTCATTGTGCATTCATAAAAAAGGGATAAGATGGAGTAAGATACTTTGGACAATTCAGAATTGATATGAAATTGAAATTCAAATAGAGACTAACATAAGCAATTGAAATGTCTGAAATAGAGCACGTAGTTCCGCCCACCTTCGCTGCCCCTCTTTTCTGCCCCGTCCAATGTAAATGGCAATTAACTGGTAGATGTCAACGATAACCTGGCCACATAAATTATGTATCATAACCTAGTTGAACGTGTTACTTTAAAGATACAATGGACGGAGTCACATTCATAGCCTCTGTCAACGCTGTTAATTATGCTCGAGGAACTACATGTGTCCTATATAATTCTTGGACTTATTTCCTGGGTTTGAGTACCGCCTTGGTCAAGTAAAATGTCATTTGTGACGGTCCAGTGCATGGGGACGCGTGACGTCACCTGTGAATGACCGTAGCAAGGACTTGGTACTGAGAGGCGTCCTGATATACTGCGGACTGTTTAAGTTATATAGTTTTGAATTAAGATAGAAGGACCTGGAGCTTGAACATATGTAACAGTACAAGGGACAACTGAAGAAAAATGGAGCTTCCCAAAATGGACAATAGTAAAATACACTGTGAAGAAGAAAATAATCCCAGTAAAATTTTGTGAAAGCAGTGAAGATCGACACCCTAGAATACATATGTCACTATGGATTTGTGGATGTAAGTTTACATTAGTTCTCATACACCACGATTAATAAATGTTTTGTTTTCAATTGGTAGTGACTTATTTAATAATACAATGTAATTACTGGTACATATAGGCCCTATGCGCATTATGAGAATTATAATCCTAGCTGCATTTATCAATTAAACAATTCCCAGGCTTGCGAAGATATTAATCCTGTCATTCAGCTCACTTCATTTGGCTGGAGACGTTTATTGGGTGAGCCAACGACTTGGAATAACCACTTTGGAAATCTCGGCTATCAGTGGGATATTTTCTGGATTTGGGATCATGATCCGCGGCCAGACACAGTTAGCCAATCAGAACGAAGACAGCGGTGACGTAGAGCAGTCACATCATGGTCTACCAAAGTACAGTTTAGTCAAGTACACAGGGACTGAGCAACAAGATGCCATCAATAGTAATCGACCTCTAGGTTGGTGTTAACCTCATACATGTAATATTCTCTTCCAAGAACAAAACTGCGACGTTTAAAGTGACCCAGTACAGGATTTTGAACGCATTTCAAGAGCATGAATCGCTTCTTGTTGAACTTACCTGTGGACAATTAAAACTTGTAAATCATATGTAAATTGACAAGCAAAGACAGGCTTTTAAGTCAGTATTGCAAAAAAAAAAAAAAAAAATCAGTATTGCAAAAAATAATCATATTCATTACCCCTGTTCAACCTCGGTAGTCAGCCATCTTGATAAAGTTTGAAAATTACACGGCACGTATGGAAGGCGGGGAGACCATAAGGGGATAAGCCGGCATTGCTTTTAAGTGAGTCGGCCATATTTGATCCTCGGATCAGTTTGTTCTGAATCAGCCCAGAGTTATGGCGAGTGTCAAAAAAGGAAAGTTAAAGGTTGATAAATCGAGGGGAAATACCGTTTACGTTAAATATGGGTTTTTGGCTGGAAAACCCTGGCCTGGAAGGCTTTATTGATAATAGGGGCTTTTTGACAGCTATGCACTTCCTTATTATCTTTCACTTTTAGACATATAGGGGAGACCGGGGCTAGTTGGACCCCGGGATAAGTTGGCCCCCCATTAAATCTCTTTAACAAAGTTACTTTAAGATGCTAAAATATTTCATTTGGATCACTGCCAACGTTTTCTTAGCACTATTGGATACGGTCGCTTTACAAAATGATGTGATCAATTCTTTTACCCCATAGTTACTTTGTCATAAATTGATGGGGGGCCAACTTACCCCGAGGTCCAACTAGCCCCGGTCTCCCCTACATGTGAACTATGTTAACGTTAATGTCCTCATACGTTCCATAATCAAATGACACAGCAAAATCTAATACTGTCATTTAAATGACTTTGAATGCTTTTTATCTCTTACCACAATGGGACGGATATTTTGGCACTGTCTATTACAGACCACTAGTATCAATCGTGCTTTCGAAAAGTTCACATGGCCTATCAGTTTGATTTAATTAGTATTTGACATAGGAGTCAGCATTCTTTGTTGAAATTATTGGTAATTTTGGTGAATGAAAATGTGTTGTTATATTTCTATTTCAGAACGGCTGCGGCTCTCCAAAGTATTGACACTAGTGATTCTGACGGTGATACTCATCAGATGCTTAATATGTCGAAGGAGGGACAGAAAAACAGCAAGGTGGATCTCGGTTTTTCCTTGCACACGATTGACGAACAAATAGGGTCAAAGACATGCACGTGTACGTTACTAGTATATTGAACTTCTGTATCGTCGACATGAAATTATCAACACAACATAATACACACACAGAATACAGAACCACAGGAGAGAGAGAGCGAGAGGCATGAATGCTTTGTCGAATCTGAAGTCCACATATGTGAAATCATGCAACTTTCATTTTGGTGTTAATTCTCTTTGAAGGAGAGAGACGCGTGGGATAATTATTTATCACGAGATTGTCATGAAAAGAGTTATGAGGAAACACATGTACACTCAAATTACTTCCTTAGTGGAGGGTATGTGGGATTTTTAATTTTGACTTTGAAATCAAACTAAAGCTGATAACGAAGCAGCGCGCCGGTTTGATTAGAACGCGGATGTGCAGAAAGAAAACGCAGATAAACCCCGCTTGTCGCGACGCCTGTTCATATCTAACCAAATAAAATAAATGTACATGTGCTCTAAATATGAATCAAGGGATTCTATCTGAATATTTTTTTTTTAAATTTATTCACCAGAATCTGAATACACCTCCTTGCCCAAACTGAACTTTTAAGAAAAAACTTAAAAAGTGGGAAATTTTGAAATGCGTTGTAGTATTTATTGATATTATGCAATTACAAGCATCAAACTGGAAAAAAATGAGACCAATCCAAGCCAACACTCGTAATTCTTCAGGCATGAGACGACGTCATACATTGTAACGCTGGTGTAATCCAAGTAATCTCATGTCACCAAATGACTTCTTTGCCACTTTGGTAGCGGAAGATCTGCAGCCAGCTCAGTCCATGTTACAGTACCCTCAGACAGTACCCTTGGGAGGCCCCAGGGAGATTGTACACGTGATATGCCCCCCCCCCCCCCCGTCCACACACACACACAGTTCTTCAGTGTGACGAGATCGATGTGATAGTCAAGTGAAGTGACAACAATGTTTTCAAGCACAATTGTCCCGAAGGATGCACGGCAATAGGCCGAAGGTTCATTGGTCTAATCTTCACTATACAACACTTAGACCAACCAGTGGCGGATTTACAGGGGTGTCAGGGGGGTCCTGACCTCCCTTTCGATTTCTGAAAATAATCACACCAATGTTCCCCTCTTAAAATTAGAATTTTGACTACATGAATCATAGTTTTAAACCGTTCCAAATGGCATTGTTTGCCCTCTAAAATACCTAAATTTTCCCACGCCAAAGGGGGGGGGGGGGTCGGCTTCGAATCCGCAGACCCCCCCCATAAATAATCCTGGATCTGCCCCTGCCAACGAACCTATCAAAAAACTGATGAAATGTTACGATTATTCGGATCAATGAACCTTCGGACTATCGAGACGCACATTTCTCAAAAGGAAGCGCAAACTGAATCGCTTTTATTTTTTTTTCGTCCCAACTGCTTATGATAACGGTTGGATGTGGAGTGGAAACCGTGCGATATATATATATATATATGCCACGCAACAACACCTGGAGCGTCAACGAGAGGTTTTCAAAGCACATATCGCTAGAGGGTGGCAGTGTATTATTTGACACACATACCGCTACGAAATAGTTGCATTTCACCGAAAAACACACCATCAAAGAGAGGGGGGCGTCTCGATAGTCCGAAGGTTCATTGGTCCGAAGGTTCATTGGTCCGAAAAGCGGTAACATTTTTATCGATTTTTTAATCAAGGGTTCATTGGTCCGAATGTTCTATAGTGAACATTCGGACCAATGAACCTTCGGACTATTGAACCTTCGGACTATCGCTACGGCCCCAAAGAGAGTACGAGAGAAGACACAAACACATTTCAGTCTCTAACATTTTTCTTGATCGCTTTATTTACACAACAATGTTTACTGATAAGAACAATTCCTAATGATTCTATTGTTTCCTGGGCGGATTATCATGATAGAAGCAATGTTATAGTGGCAGCGTGACAAAACACAATATTGTTTGCTGTCACATTTCCATGCTTAAGGCATATCAGTGACCCCTAATTAAAAGTATTATTATTTTGGTGTAGATTCAACTTCTTTGAATCAACACCTTGTATTACTTTCCATAAAACAACTGATAGACCTAATTTATTTTACCTTTCTTCTAGGTACGTAGAATTTCCAAGTATAAAAGTGTTCCTACATGAAATCTTAATCATTATACAAATGGATGTAGTAGATACATGCAAGTTAAGAGATCTAATCAAAGTCAATATTGTTTTATAAACATACATCAGTGTACCTGATGATCTTAAATGGCTAGCACATAAACAATTCCAATATAAAGTTGTTAACAACCAGTTCAACAACAAATCCAATTAATACAATAAAACAAAAAAAAAAAAAAAAAGATAAAATTCTTGATTATATACATTTTAATATGTGCATATAAAGGAGCGTGTTATTTTATGAAAAGGTAATTAATTCCTTTGTGTGTCAAACACTTTTCAAAATTTGAATATATATACACATGGAATGTTGATATATCACAAGTGATTTAAAAGCTTTAATAAGCTGGATGTATTGTACTGGACACTCAATAAAAAGAAACAAATTCACTGATTCTAAACACTGAAAAATATATAAGGTATTATCAGATGATACATCATCAGTATCCTAAAAAGTTACTAAAACAGATATTTTAGTTGTTACAAAGCAAGTTTAAATGCAGTGTGTACACAGATAAAAGTCTGCACTGGAATTTGAAATAGGCATTAAATTACTAAGAAAAACAGGAACATTGTTACTTCATTTTCTTACTGTGATTAAACCAAATCACTGCAGAAAAAAAAAGAAAAAACCAGCCACATTTGTATATACTTTGTGCATGGTATTTGTGCATGTGTATTGGTCAGTGTATTTGTAATTTGTTTGTATTTTACCGAGACATCAGGAACACAAGGTTGATCCCATCTGTTTTTTTTTTTGTCCCCTGACTTGTACAAAAATGAAATAAATTAATAAAATAAAAAACTGGATAAAGTATTAAAAAATCACAGCAATTCTTATTAATACTGACTTCCTTGGGAACAAAAAATTGGGAATGAATAAGAATTAAAAAGATCACATATACATATTTTGGTGTAATTTCCTTTCCTTTATAAAATTATTGCTTGAATTAAAAATTGGATTTCTCTTCCAAATAGGTTTCTCTCTTGGAATGTTCAAGTTTACTAGTTCTATTCCTGATCACATTTTACTTTTTTTCTCACCTTCAATGAATATTTCATCCTTAATGTGGTACAGATAGCCAATTCTAGTACGTTTTTTATGCAGGCATTCTTGTCTTTCTCCTTCTCTTTGTAATTGTGAATTAATTTCCAAAAATTTGGTCCAATAAACCCGCTTTCTGTGAACCTGACTAAGTAACGAACCTGACTAAGTACCTAATACAGAATCTAATAAATGCGGTCAACAAAACCATTTGTTTCTTTGCACCGTCTAATTTTTTCCTCTTCTCATGGATGTACAAAAAAATCAGATTTTCACCTTTTTTTATATAAAGCATTTCCTCACATTATGGATTGCCTCTTTTCTTGAAATGATTAGGTACTGTAGGTTTGTTGAACACTGATTATCCCTTCTTTCCCTTCTTGTCACCCTCTGTACTTTCCAATTTGTTTTTCTTCCCCAGAATACCCATGAGATCCTTGTTCATGTAGTAAGGCTTTTCTGCCGAGCCATCATGGCGTTCACAGTCCTCCACTGGAAGGAAAAACATTTTGTCAAACAGCTTATTTTTCCAGCAAGAGAAACTTTCCTGATGAATCATCCAATCAATAGTCATTTTAATGATAATATATGTACAAAACAAGAGTAAGCTCATCATTAACAGAAGTTTTAAAGCTTACCATATCCCCAAGGTCGATGCACATATTATACTTACAGAAACAAAGGAACAGAGTGTCCACACCCATGCCGTATACGCTGAAGAAAGCTGCTGCTATCACATAAGACCCCAGGGATATGATCTGAAACAGAACACCTACAGTGTTGTACTGGGTTCTTGAAGACTCTTCACCAATCTTGTTTCTACTGATTTATTAAATTTTTATGGTGCTCTTGTTTCATGATTTGTTGCAGTTTGTTTTTTGGTCATGTGTGTTGTATTTTCTTCACTTAATTTGTGGATTTTACTGAGAACACATTAACTTCTTAATGGCATATTGTGTGACATATTATGCATTTTGGTGTGCTGTCTATGTTTTTGTTGGCACATTGGTTTTGACTAAGATCTAATATACCATTTATTAGATCTTAGGTTTTGATAAATAGATGTTGTGGATTGATGTTGTTTTGATGTAGGGATGCTTGTTGGCATACTTTGTGAATTGACTTTGGTATCTTGTGAAGATTATGAATGGAGAACTATGAAACTGATCTGTTCACATGAATCAAGTGTTCTGACATTTTTTTGTGTTAAAAAGGCCACAAAAACTACTGTTTGAAAAAAAAATGCTAATACAATAACTTAAAACATGTAACAAATATTTGTTAAATTTAAAAAATCAGTAGACATACACATTGCACCACCAAAAAGAAAAAAAATATTAAATGAGTTTGACAAAAATTTGGACAATAATTTGACAACATACCACAATGCAACAAAACATTACAGATTAAATGTTAGTATGAAGTAATTTTCAGACACAAAACTACAAAAATAAAACACAAAACAATCTACTTTAAGAGCAAAACCTCAATCTTTGTGAACTAATAAAAGTGAATTAAAAAATGAAGACCAGACACAAACACTAAAAAGTTAGTAATAAACAAGACATTTCAGTTTCACTATTGGGACATACTTTGTTACAATATAATGTGCGTGTGATCACATAATGCACGTTTACTCACGATGACGGGGACTAGGTAATAGTTCAGGGAGGGAGTGTAGTTGCTGAGGAAAGAGATGCGCCCATCAAAGAAGAAGTAAGCTCCGGCAGCTGGTAACACAGGAAAGGAAATGTGAATCATCATTGTCAATACATTGTCTACTAATGCAATGTATCATTCTCCATACAATGTACACTGATACAATGTATCATTCTCTGTACAATGTACACTGATACAATGTATCATTCTCCATACAATGTACACTGATACAATGTATCATTCTCCGTACAATGTACACTGATACAATGTATCATTCTCAATGCAGTTTCATGGTAAAAGCAGGTGTAAATTATGAACTTCATCCACTGCTATTTACTAGACAGCTCATTCATACAACAGCTACAGAAAGGTAATAATTCTGATTATGGCTGTTGATTGAAGAAACTATCATATTGTAACAGGATGATTATTCTTTCTTGCAGGGTGTGACTGTTCATGCAACATAGTTCACATAAAGTGTAGAGTTCTTGAGCTGCCAACAATATTCATGAACGCACTTTCTACCTGTAACTTTTCTCAATTTTTCAATTCCTTTTCTCTTTCTTGTTCTTTTTTATGAGACAGGGTGTGGGAGGATATCAGTTTCAATTGTTGAAGTGTCATTCTGTAGTTCATAATCGATATTGATAACCAATACGAAAAACAAATTAACAGAACTAAACTGTGGGCAACCCTGAACTTCTACAGTTCACATGCTTGCAGTGTTACACCTCCACAGACAACATATGCCCTGTTTTTACACAAAGTGGAACCAAAAAAAAAAAAATAAAAAAAATTTAGGCACCAAAAAACTTCAACAGTGTCCAAAGTAAAAAAAAATGTATCATTTTCCTTTATTTGTATATAAGAAACAGATACAGAGATATTCACAGAACTGCAAAAACTTAAAATAGAAATCTATCAAAGCAAAAGCTGAATAAAACTCTGAAACTCAGTCAGCCTATTTATCTATAACAACTGCAAGTAAAAGTTGGCATAGTTTCAATCTTATTCTGTAGTGTTCTAAAAGCAGCTTCTAACTTCAGTATGAACTGTCCTGTAAAAGCATAGCATCAGTGAGAAAAGACAGACATGTTCATTGCATACTCAAGCTTCCAGTGTAACACCTTTAGGAAATTTCAAGTGGCTTAATTATACCACATACTCAGATGATTTGTTCTGTCTTGAAATTTTGCAGACTGGCTGTCATTAATGATCAGATAATTTAGCGGCAATATGATCTGTGTGATTCTGAAATCACGGAAAATTATGCCATTGTAGAAAATAATTTGGACAGAAAAGGATGGAAATTTGAATTAAATTTAAATTGTACAAGGTACAATGAAAGCCAAGTGCTGCTGTCATGTAAATCTTTCCCTGCACAATAAAACCACACAGTATAAAGATCCATCTTCATTGTAGACAAAGTGTAATAGTAAAACCTGAAAGTTTCAATTGTTCAGAATTCTTTTTTTCTAAATATAAAATATTCTAAATATGCTGAAATAAATGTTAGTATCATGGAAAGATGTTAGTTAAGTATGATGTGCATGCTGCATTTATGCAGTATCAATAATTACAGTCCATGTAACCTTAATACATGTCATTATTTTGATTTCCTTTATCATTTACTCTAATTGTGCTCAGAATAACCCCTTTATATTAAAAAATATGCCTATTCCAATTTCATAGCTTCACATATTACCAAAAAAAAAAAAAAATCTTATAACTTTTTCCATCTGTACAAAACAAATTTTGCAAATGAAATTAAATATCTTTACAAGCTGATGTTAGTGGATACAAAAAATAAAGTTTCTATATATTTTCCATTTCTGGAATCATGCAATCCACCTCATCTTTGTGCACCACATGCATTGCTGGCAATGACTTATTACACTGGCTTCATGCAGCATACCACATATATCAGATACACAGTAATAACTTGACTTTTCAATAGGGCAAGAATTGTGCATTTTAAAGACACTGTATTTTTAAGGCATAATTTATTGAAATAAGAACATTCCTATTGAGTGGTAACAACAAAATTAAAAAGCATGCTACTGTGTACCAAATTGCTTTATGGAAATATAATTTTGTGCTTATACAATCATGTATATGAACGTTTGATAATTTTTGCCCATTCAAAAGATCAAATCATTACCATTTATATAGAACAGTCAAGCATCAAGTACATGTTCTTATATTACTATGCACTTTCCAGTCTTGTCTCACACTATAAAATTTACAGGGATGAGAATTATGGCGAAAGAAACTATTCTTAATACGGCTTAGGCAATGAAGGAGGCATTTAAACCAAATAAATAAATATTGTGGAATTCAGCCAGGTTATAGGGATGCAGGGACCAACAAAATGTGACTTTTGATGCAAAAAAATAAACAGGAAAACTCATGGATCTGCTGATTATTCCAATATCCCAGGGTCTATTCCAAAATCAATTTTAATTGAAAGTTAAAACTGGGGAAGATTTATTCAATATGCAATCAATGGATACTTCTCATTCCTGTACAAACAGCGCAATCAGAATAGACAACGAGGTGAGGATTAGTACGCATTTGTAATGACGGCGTGAGGTCAGGTGTCTGTCCGCCATACTTGCTACATACCATCACGGGGATCAAGTAGTAGTGTAGTGAGGGAACATAACCGTTGATGACTTGGATAGGGACCTGTCCACTGAAGAAGAAGAATGCCAGAATGGCTGGCAGACAAAAAGACAAAAAAAAGATAATGAAAATTAGTCAATAAATTAATTTTTTATTTCTCTCAGTCTCTCTTTTTTTTTTTTTTTTTTTTTTGAGGGGGGGGATAAATATGTTGTTTTTCAGTTTATAATACACAGCAAATATCTAGAAGGAAAATGGCAAGATATTATTTTAAACAATATGACTAATTCACAGGTTTTCATCTTTCAACTACATCTGGAAGAGAAATAATTTTATTTTTTTTCTTCAATTCACTTTGAATTCTGTATTTGATTTATATATACAATATAGAAATGCACAATGAAGCATTCAGAAAGCATTTAAATAAAATATGCTTGTTGTAATAATATAAATTATAAATATATAAGTAAAATCCTAAACTGCCATTCTGCAGGGCCCATGTTGCATGATAGCAATGATTAAAAGCATGTGGCATCTTGTCTTGCATCTGAAATTGACAGCTGCCATGAATATTTCATTGCAGCCCATAATTTTGAATACATTATACATTTAAGTCCAATAACTCTTTCATTTCTTACATTCTTTACTACTTGAGAAAATCAAAATCCACTGCATCATTTGCAGCTGATTACTGTATTATTACTTTAATCTGCAGTATCATACAGTTAATTATACTAAATGCACTTTAAACCAAAACCTTTATTTCAAATAAATCACAATTTTTAATTAATTTACTTTCAGGATAAAAAAAATCTTCAGTAATTGTTAAAAAGATAATACAGTATATCTTGGTTACTTACTTGTTGCTGCAACAACCACCAACTTCGCAATTAGCAGCAAGAAATCGGCGACTTTGTCTATGACCACAACCCTGAAACAAAAGATAAAAGGCAATACTTTCAGGATTTTTTTCTGAATTTCAGCACCTTTACATACTTTTTGGATCTTTCTGAAAAGGTAAAAATTTAGAGGTTATCACATACTTACAAAAATTAACATAAGACTATACATGTCTCAAAAAGTTATTAACAGAGTCCTTTATGTAGATATCATCCAATCTAAAAAATCCATTTCCCTACCGCACTATGTTCCTCATTATAAGGAAGAAAGCATTTTTCGCAGATGTGCAGAAATTCTTTCCATAAACTGCAATCTGAAAGTCAATATGTAAGGTTAAAAAGAAGCATGCCAATGAAAATTATGAATGTGAAATTAAGAATTATTTCTGATCTAGCTTAATGAAGACTAAATTTCTAATAATTACTTTTTTAGAAAGCAAAACTTTTCTCCTTAGCTGCTGAAGTTATCTTTCTTTAAAGAAAAATAAATGTTTTTTGTGATTCTTAATAATAATCCCCAGGGAGGTGAGACCGCCTACGGAGTGCACCAGTGCAAAAATGACCAGGCTTCCTTGACTTAAATATTCATATATGTAATTGTATAACATCAACCTTCGGGTTGCGATTTCTCCAATAAAGATTATTATTATTATTATTATTATTTATAATCAAAGTATGTTTTATATCATTACTTTTTAATTATTGTTTTTTTTATATTTGATAACATAGATCATGTAGATTTTCATATGCAAAAAATTGCCTTCTACTTCTCACTTAAAATCTTAGGGAAGTCAACCTTGTCGTGCTTAATACTGTGATATTCTATAGAAACTTACCAGAATGTAAGCATTTTTGTTGAGGAACTTCATAAACTTCTCCAAGCACCAGAAACAGCATTTCAGGCACCTGTAAAATTAATATGAGTCTGTATTAATGATGATCAAGTTTAATACACTGAAGTACATGCTTCAAGTTATTTCAAGTTATTTTAATTGTTAGTACTGACAATTCGAATTAAGTTCTGGAACACCATGCATACCATAATGCAGGAAAGAAATGTAAAACCAAGATATCTTTATTAACTTCATGACAAATTTATTCATTGATTTTTAAATTACTTAATGTTACTTAATCTGCAGTCAATTGCCAGAATGAAAACAGTTCAAAAGTACAAAGGTGCAAATTGAAATGGAATCAGTCAAGCATGAAACAGTCAAAATGACATCACAAAATAAAGCAGATCACATGGGAAAGCTTTCTAATAATAAAGATGTCAGACCCCATCCTTTCCAATCTGGCTGACCAGAAAAGTCAGTTGGATTATTTTTTAATTATATATTATACATGTAAGCAAGGTTCTGATTAAAAATTAAGTTACAAATGACTTACTTGAGGAAGAATTTGGCCACTTGGTTCTCAGAGCCTTTTAGCTTGTTATCTACGTACTCTAGTATCACCCGTATAATCTGAATGATGGCAATGATCAAAGAACCAAAGGCTATTGAACCCAAGTGATATCTGAAAATACAAAAGAATTTGATATTTTCTTGAATGTGTTATCAAAGTATGCATAACAATAAGCTTGCACATGAGCAAAAATCCTTTTGAATCCTCATACACAAATTCTGCAGCTTTTAAAACATTTTCTTCATTGAGAGAGATTCAAAGGAGGAAGAAAAACTGTACACAGAGAAAAAATATTATCTATATTTTAAGAAAAAACATACCGTAACAACCAAATTTAGGACAGAACCCAAATGATATCCCCATACACTCCATCCCCTTTATTTTCATTTAAACCTTGCAAATTAAAAAAACAAAAAAAAAAAAAAAAAAAAAAAACATCAATGTGGCCCACACCAATTTCAGAAAACCCCAGCCAAGCCAGAAATATTGAGCTATTTTTACCTTAAAGATCTCCATAAAGAAGCAGTCACAGGAAAGGCGGGGATATCCTGGGGCTTGGAGAAGGCCCAGTAGTAGGAGGCGAAGGCCCCAGCCAGGGTCAGCTGTCCAAGAGCAATGATGAAGTTCATCACCCAGAACAGCATGAATAACATGTAGAATTGTAAGTATATAGTGTACCTGGAATAAAAGAAACAACCAATAAATAAAACTCCTTTGTATCCATTATTATCATTAATTTATATGCAAAGTGATAAAAACATTTGAATTTCTTTACAAAGACTTACAGCTGAAATAAATATATTTTAAGATCTCTAGCTTCACCAAATTTTGAAATTATCAACTAATTCATACATGAGCAGTTTAATAAATGATATATAACTATATTCAAGTATGGTGAATGCCTGAAATGCCAAAGTAATGATATGTAAGCATAACATTTCTCACAAGATTTCGAACTACTAATTCAGTTTTGAAGCAATCTCCTAAAATACCTAAAGCTTTGTTCTGAGGATACATGTATCATATCCATAAGGCCGCATTCAGAACAGCGGACTAACTAGTCCACGGGTCAAACATGGTTGACCCACTTGAATACTTCCTCACATGGAATCTATTCAGTGTTTATTAGCGGATTAGATGGCAAGATTTTCAGTCGGTCGCCATATTTGGCCCACGGACTAGTTAGTCTGTTGTACTGAATGCAGCATAAGTTATGGTGATACATGCTTATTAGGGAACTTTCAGACTTACTCCTGGACATCATAGCCCACAAATCCACAGAACTGGCCTAGGGTACTGTTGGTATAATCCGCCTGGAAATAAATCATAGTTACTGTATAACATAGACTTTCAATAAGTCATTTTAATACTTTTTGTAAGAATGATAGTTTCCTCAATTACAGGCAGAAAATTCAAATGTATTGGTCTCCAATATTTTCTATCTAATCTTAGCTGTTAAAATATTAGAAGAAGAAATTATTATTGTTACTTAGTAACTGATACAGCTGAAGATATTTTCACATTATTACCATTATTTTTACATAATAGTATACATCACACTTTTATACAATCGGTTTGTATATGAAACCAAGTTATAGCACAGATAAAGGGACGTGTCTGTAGCACACCTTGAAACTCAGGCTAAATAAGGCAATATATATTGCTGATAATTTTGTTAGACTTCTTGATACTCACAGCACATGATGCTGCAAACGTTGTGACAAGATTGGAACTATCTGCTGCCGTCACATTACTGGTCAGGTTCCCAGAGGAGCTAGCATACTTCTTCTTGTCTGACGAGGCCAGGTAGAGGGCAGTTGCACCCCAGAATCCAAACAGGACCACTTGGAGGAAGAATGGGATGATGGGCCACAGTAGGGTGAACATCATGTTGCCCACAGCTCTGGAAATGTGAAAATGTAGCGATGTAGAGAAAAATGTTTTCTTATGATGCTCATGCCTCGTTTCAAACCAAGATAGGTTGATATCACTCATTAAGACCCAGCTCAGTAGTTTTTCTTATACAACAAGCTCACCATAGCTTAACAAAGTGGGAGGCACTCTGAGGGAGTGACAGTATTCCTTTCCTATGGTTTGTGTTGCTATAATACTAAGCTTACAACTGACTCTTCGCCATGATCCCTACTATTTCCTGCACAGCTCACTTAGGTATATATATAAATTTCATTACAATCATAAAATTTAATGTCGATTTTTGAGGAAAACTATATTTCTTGGTGGATCTTTGAAAAGATTGTAAATTCAACAGCTCTAAGTATGAGGTATAAGGCCTCATAATAGCAGCATTTGAATTTCCCAGGTATGTTTTTGAGAGTTTAATTTTTGCTGGCCAAATTCAACCAAATTTGTTGAACATCATAAGTGATAGATTCTAGATAAAACCTTGCTCTGGCTTTAATTTTTACCTGCTGGCTTCCTTGATGAGAGCAATGGCGATGCGGATTCTGTTCCTGAGGAAGAGGAGGATGAGGATGGACAGGCCAAGGATGGTGGCAGAGATAATGCCTGCAGAGGATGAGAAGAATATCAAATTTCATTAATGGCACGAGAAGCATTTTAATTAATTTTGTTTGGATTAGGTTATTTATAGACAAGAAGTAAAGGTTTAATAGACTGCAGCATTTTTTCTGGAATTTTATGACCAACATACATCAATTATGCTTTCTTTATTATACATGTATAATTTAAATATATTTTAAATCCAATGAATATTGCAAATTAAGACTAAGTTGAAATTTTAATGCCAGAGTTAAAATAAAATAAAATTTATATTAAATTCCTAATCTAAATTAAATTGAAATACATTTAAAGGAATCAAACCCATAGACTTTCCACCCCCACCCACACATATTCAAGTATGTAATGACATAAATCACATAAACCATCCACATATACAAATACAGCAACATGAGTCAGCAGCAATAAACAAACAACTGAGAATACACTAGCAGCTACTACACAAAATCCACTCACCAAAGACCAGCCAGGTGGTGCTGAGGTTCCAGTAGTAGTCCAAATTTGTGGTGAACTCTATGTCCGTGACACTGTTTAGACTGGCAGATGAGTTGTTTTTCATCTCAAAGTACCTGCTGAGTGTGTAGTATGTGGCTGGTGGAGAAAAATTCCAGGTTTTGATTTAATACTAGCTGGTGATCAGAAGTTTTTTTCATTATTTTTAAAGAATAAACATTATTCAATATGGAAAGCAGCAACCGTTTAGTATGTATATTCTAATCTATTCAAACTATTACATAAGATAATGCCACATCCGCAAGAATATTGTTCTTTCCTTCTTTCAATATAAAAAAATATTTCAAAAATGATACACACAAAAAGTTACTTAAAAATCCACTGAATGGCTTAGTTGTAAAATAAAAATTAACCAGAACTTCACTAGGCATTCTTTCCAAATCAATGGGAAGCAATTCAAATGTTCAAATTTCATTATACTCACAGAAGGAGAATAGAGCAATGAAGGCAAATATGGTGAACCAGACAATGACTCCAGCTATCCATCTCATGATGATAATCCAAATGAAGGCAATTACACATGAAATGCCAAGGCCACTGAAAACAAAATAAAATTACAGACACATGTATTGTTTGGTACCCTTTACATCTGTTTAAGTAGACCACTGTGCAGTGACACAAAGGGGGATAAAAATTTCATCCATTTTAACAAGATGTCATTTGATATTGGGTAACGAAACATATATACAGATTTTCACATTTGCACACAGAAAAGAGTATATGTGATAAATTCGGAGTCTTTAATATTGCATGCATAATAACAAGTTGTAACATTTTGCAAACTGACACAAAATCCCTAAAAGATGTAATGGGATAAAATGTGTTAAAGTTCAGAACTTATTATGTTAGCTATGAAAACTTACACCAAAATCATCCACCAGGAGGCTCTGACATCAGCCAAGATCTTCTCACCATACTCTTTAGCATTCAGGATGTAAGCCAGTACTCTGTTGAATGAAAATACAACATATGAGTTAATTATAATTACAAAACTATGAATTTAGAACCATATTAAAGCTAGTTTCTTCATGATTTGGAAATTGTTCTTCTGCTCAAGAAGTGTCCATAATATTTACAAGACAGGCAACAAATTAGCAACAGTGATATAATTCAACTTTCACCTCATAATTACAAAACTGTGCACATTTACAAATACATAACATGCTTACAAGGCAAAGAGCTTACGCTTGTGTCTACAATCTTTGCACAATAAGAGACGAACTGAGAACTTACTTGGAGGCTGCACTAAGTGCATCACCTGTGACAGTAGTGTTATCGGCTGCCACCAGGGTGGTGTTGCCAGCATCAGACAAGAGACCAGAGGCAGAGTTAATGAGAGTAGAAATAGCCGAGGGAACGCACCTGCCAACAACTGGAACAAAAATTGATGTTGTGTCTCAATCAGTGCAATGTGAATGCAAGAAAAGGTGCATCTTTGTTACAAGCGTAGAATTGTCTAAAAAATGATAAAACAGTGGTGATGTACATCAATATTGTGCAATGTTATAAGTTAACTGAAAACACTTTGAAAAATACACAATGTCTAATGTAACTTGCAAATCATCCAAAAAAAAAAAAAACTTAGTCATAAGAATAACACATTTTTAAAAACATTATAAAAGTGATAACAAAATGAAAAGATACTGACATATTTCATAAAAATCTTGTAATAAAAACTTAAAACATTTATCAAGCTCATACCTGCATCACTCTTGACATAATAGGAAGCACAGTTGCCTCCTTCCACTAGCTCTTTAATTGACTGAATGGAAAAAAATAAATATGCATGCAACTAGTGGAACAAAATAAAAGCAAGCTAGCATGTTATATAAAACAAAATTCATTGAAAATAATTAATTTTTTTTCTATGTGTAATAAATCTTAATTCAAAATGTACTTAAAAGCAGCAAGTTTTCTTTTATGACAATGTCAAATTAAAACTAACTGCTGCCTGAGTAAACTTATTAAAATAAAACAACATATACATTACATTATCTCCAAAACTGAGTTTTTTCCTTCACAAATAACACTTTTTTTATCAACAAGTCGATATTTTGTCAAAGGTTATTTAGTTTTTACTATATGTAAAAATTGATACAATAAACTATTTGAAATAAAAGAGCTATTTGAAATTTTTTAGTTTTTACTATGAAGTTTGTTTCAAAATTAGTAAATTAGTAATACAACAATTTGCTGTGCAGAATTAACAAGTTTTGAAAATAAAAAGGTTCAAATGAAATAAAATAATGCAAAAACAAACACTAAGTACAACTTATAGTTTTCATGCAAGCACACAGAAACATCTTTATCCTACTAGCAAGCCAATAAGCAACAATATAAGAAATCAAATCAACTACAGGTTCATTTTCCCCAGTGTTTGGAAATAAAGTAATAACTCGACCTTTTCAATGGGAAAAATTGTGAATATTACATTTACTGCATTATTTAAGGACATAATTTCTTTTAATTAGAACATTGCTACTGAGTAGTAGCAACATATTAAAATGCAGGCTAGTCCATAGTTCTATTCTATGCAGTAAAAGCATCACAAATGTTATACAAAAATATATTTCTTTGTTTTTTATATAATGTATCTGAAAGTTTGATCTTTTTTTTCTCCATTCAGAAGACCGAGAAATTACCGTATACAGAGAACAAAACTCTACCTTAAAAGTGGAATCATTGCCCACTTCTACAGAAAACTGTTATTTTTTTTTAGAGATTTTTGAATTCTTTGTCCAATAATAATAATAAAAAAGCTGCTGCAACTCAATCTCTTTTCTGTCACATATTTTGTGAAGTTAGGGAGCATTCACATCGAGAAGAGCCAAGTTTTAGTAAGGCCACGACCTAAATATAGCAGACCTACATGAAAGGAAGACGGCTGATCCTGTTAATATAACCACGCGTCATCCCTGCAGAAGCACAGTAATTAAATCTCAGCTCAATTCAACCATTCGAGGGACAAGGCGTGGGGGGTGTGTGTCAGAAGCGGAGAGACCATCAAATAATTAGCGGTCTTCCTTTCATGTAGGTCCGACATACTTAGGTCGTGGCCTTACTAAACCTTGGCTCTTCTCGATGTGAATGCTCCCTTAGACAGATAGGCCATTACTACATCCCATCACTATCCGTGTTTGATAATTTTAATTAAAAGTCCATATTCCAGTTTACTCCATTTACTGCCATTGCTCTCCCTTTCCAGCCCCCTCCCTCCTCAATTTACCTTTTCATCTCTAACTTGCGTGGTTATATTATAAGTACAATACATGTCCTCTTTTAACTTTCTCCTTTCCTGGGTACTGAGCAAGGGGTTAGCATCCTGCGCAGCAGCAGCCACCCACACCCAATTCTTGTCAGGACATTTTGACACGCACACCTAAAATTGAGTCTTATTGTCTGACTAACAGGGTTCTGTATTTTCTTAAATTTTTACTTGAAAAATATTAGATTGACGCCAAACTGGGGGATTCTCTGTTGGCCATTTTTGTGTCTGAAGATTGTCTGAAGATTGTTTTGGGAAATGAAGTGATTAGTTTTCAAGAAAGACACATCAAGTAGCAGGTTTTATATTTATAACTTTCACTCAACCACCCTCAAGGATCTTGTAATCATGATTAATAAGAGTTCTCTTTTGACCTTTCTTTAGCTTATTCTCCATAACTGAATTTTTTATTCTGAAATTTCATATTGAATACGAAATCATTCCTTTTTTGTTTCAGGTACAAAGTGTAAGTATTTTAACTATAAAACCTGCTTGCAAATAAAATGACAAAATGACACACTTAGAATATCAATGCACACAGAATCATCTGGAAAAATGAAAAAAAAAAAGTAAAAGGTCATAAATAACAGTGCTATTATTGATCTATCAGAGAGCAAGTGATATATACACATAAATGGGAAGATGTTATATCCTAGTAGAAAAGTTTCTGAAATAAAAAACGTACGGAAATAGAGAACAAAAGGGAAGGATAAAATAAATGGTAGTGATTTATTATATAATTAGCAAAAAACATGATCTTACATCCTGCTATCTGAGCCTCAATAAAATATAAAATTGGCTGATAATGCCATCACCATATAAGATATTGATGACATAATTTCCAATTTTAGGACCAACCAGAGAAAAAGAGATATGGATCAGACAACAACAGCAGCGTCACATGACAGCATATGCTGCAATCAGATATTATTTTTGAGGATATTGACATTCAGCAAAGGTTTTCCCAGGCGACTATCTAATGTCATTTGGATAGCTGCCAGTTATTTTCAAAAACAACTTGATGGCCTATGGATTTTTTTTGGAAACATGACGGCTTTAGGCATACTTGGACTCCCTGAAAATTTGTAGGAAATCACAGGTGGCAATTTGGGACAACCTGTACCCCCATTCCAGGGAAAAGCCCTGGCATTCAGGTTTATATATATATATATATATATATATATATATATATATATATATATATATATATATATATATATAGTAAGCTTTTCAATCAAATCACTTGAGAATCCAAACCAAGCTCATCCATATGAAAATTCACTTCATGGCATTTATCAGTCACCATCAATAACATTTCCACCAGATGGTGTTGCCATAGCAAAGGATAAAGCATGAGATAATTCCAATGTGGTACATTGTAACCAGTTAATTGCTATGGCAGTCGGCAACAATTGTCAAGATTGAGAAGAAAACAATTCAGTAATCACCAGAACAGGCAATTTAGGTCATCGATATGAGATATAATTCCAGTAGCCTAAGAGATTAGTCAAAGCACAGAAAATTTATCAATGCATTGAACTATAGGAGTCAAGCCACAAAAATAAAGAGAGCTAACGCATTCAGTGTCATTAGTTTATCATTTGTGAATTCCTTGTCTTAGACCCACTTCATATGGGTCTAACCTTATGTCAAATTGTATACGTACAAAGAAATCAGTTCACAGCCAACAAACAGTAAGCTTATGCAATAGTTCTTCATATATACTCACTGTCCAATATCTTTAAAACAAGGCTAAAAAGAGCTCAATGGCAAAAAGCACAGATTCTGAAGATTTGTTCCTAGGAAAACTAAGCTATGCACAGAAGCTACACATGTACACTAAAATCATTGTTGGATGATCCTCATCTTCTCTGAGATCGTACTTTGGTGGTAGTAAGTAGGATATCCTGTGTGGCATAGTCACAGATCATACCATCCCTGTACTTGTCACCACTAAGAGAGGCCAGCTCCTGGAGATAACTGGGAACCCATGTCCAGTAAGTGGTAGGGCAAGAACTGACACAGATCTGTAAGGATAGATGATCTCAATGGTGTGGAGACATGGTATACACGGACACTGAAAAGTGTATTGCCTGTGTTCCCTGCATGCTTCTTTGGTATACATGACAACTGTGCCTTGATGCATTGGTAAAGAAAAATATCATGGTAAACAGATTGAGCAAAACTGGGGAAACTCTGGCTATCCACTTACATAAATTTTGGCAGACGTACCTGAAACTGTGATCATCTTGGGAAATGGAAAAGGAGGAAGAAGAGTCCTTAAACAGTTTACAGCCATGACATTGAACAGCATCTTGATAACTACAAGAGAAAGCTGTACTCTCAAAGAAGGCAACCTTTGTTTGATAAGCATAAATGTATCTTGAACACCAGGTTTTATCAGCTTGAAGAACCAAGCGCAGAATACAGAACCTCTACATGGAACGCTTTTCGGTGCATCACAAGTATTACAAGTCATAGAGAAGTAATATGAAAGACAAATTCTAAAAGCCTAGATATGATCAGAACCAGGTCCTACATTGTACCAAGCCATATATTTTTGCTACAGGACCTTTAAAAGCAAAAGTCAACCCATCACCATCATTCTTATTGGCATTAGGACTGAGAAGCAAGCTTAAAACTTTATACCACAAAACACAGTTTTGTGGACACCGAGTGAAAAAATTCCTAACATGTTGGGAGATGCATGGAGTCCATAAAAAGTTAGTTTTGAGAGATGTATAAGCTCCTGATGAAGTATGAAGGAAAACTCTCCATGTCCTATTGTTGAGGTTCATTTTTTCATCACATTCTGACAACATTACACATAAGGCACATTCTAACAGTGAATACAGGAACGCAATTAAATCAGCTGTCAAACTTCAAAACCATTCCAAATATCCAAAAACAGCCACAATGGCAGCTCAACAGCCCATGATGGCATCATACTGTGCCCGAGATATGATTAATACAACATTCTGTGACACTCTCACATCTCATATCTTTAATAACAGTAACTCTTACACAACACTCTGACTCTTATACAGTGACATGCTAGAGATCTAGAAATACAGAAAAGATAGCTCAGGTTAGTATAGCCAGTCACATCCAAGGGCTGCATTGTTACTACTGAACTACTGTAAAAGCAACATAAAGGGGCCAAGTAGACCAATGCAACCAGAGGAAATGTTACTATGACTATGTTATTATAATGGCAATGTTGTACTATGACATCCCAGTTGTACAATATTTCCAGCCATTAGAAAACAATATGATAAAGTCTATCATAACTTTATCATCACACCTAGTGATAAAACACTACTTGCTGTCAGAGCACATTGATTTTTGTAGCCAAACAATAATTCAACTTTTTTAACCATATAAAAACATTTTTACAAAAAAACATGGTCAAAAAATGAAAAATTATCTTTATCAATTTTCATTCTGTACGTAGCAAAGTTGATAATGTTGACAGCAACCTGTTAGCAAGACTACACACAGCACAACAAAGTCACAGGATTAGTTCACACCACAGCACGGTGGATCTACACCCTACAAACAGTGTTTATGGAGGTATGAGTTCATACAACAGCAGAGTAGATCTACACACGATCCTCAGTGTTTACAAAGGAATTAGTTCACACCAGAAAATATTGGATCAACACACGATCCTCAGTGGTCTACAGCTTACAAGAGTAGTGGTTGAAAGAATAGCTTGAGTGGTGTAATCGCAGATCAGATTGCCCCGCGTCCGTACTCCAGTGGTTGTCTCAATGATGAAATCAGGTAGCCATGCCCAGTATTTATCTGGACATTTTTCAACACAAACCTATTGGAGATATTGCAGGTCAATATATTATTTAGAATAAATAAAAAAATGTTCAATCACATCATTCAATTGACCTAAGTACAAATTTGCTGCACATTCAATATACAAAATACCAATTAAAGCATTTGCTGTGTAGTCCTGAAAGAAATTCTCAAATTATACTACATATTAATCAGATTAAATGTCTTCCTATATATTAGAATAGTTGAAATCAAGTTTTATCAAAATGCTGGAATAAATGTGGCAACCTGAAAAAAAGCTGCAATTATGAATACTTCATGTACTTTGAATCATTTGTCAGTTAAAATGTCAAGTTCACAACATCAGCAGCAGATGTACACATTAATACAAAGATTCAATACTCAAAAACAAAAAATTTGACTCAACTGTTGTGCAGCCGTGAGGATATATATATATATATATATATATATATATATATATATATATATATATATATATATATAATACTATTATTAATACTTTATACTTTGCCCAGTATAGTTTTGCAATTCAGGGTGTATTACAGTACATTCTGAAAGATTCAGACATGTAATTAAGCTACTTCAGGTTTCACAAGTTGGCTTCCCTCTGTTTGTGCAGAAGTTCATTAACTGGCCGGATTGAACACTGGGCTACACTAGGTGGCTTTTTTACGTAATAGCTGGACTTATATTAACTTTCAAAGTGAAACAGTACAGATGTTGGACAGTTTCATTAGCTTTGTGTTTGAAATGACCACTAAATTTTTTTAATTTAAAATTTCTTAAATCAAAATTTATCAATAGCTATAAAAATAATAAACTGATCTTTCCAGCCAATATTTCATCTGTGACAGTCGGACTTCATCAGGGAAATGAGTGTAAGGACGCATTCCCATAGATTTTAGATCGATCTATCCCCCTGGGGAGTCTCATTAGATTACTGTCAGATAATCCAGCTTAAATGTCCGTCCCGCCTACTACAAGCTGTAAGGGGGTAGTTAACTTTCGTACCCGCTCGGCTGACAGCTATTTAGCATGAACCCCCAGGGAGTTAGGTCGATCTAGTTGGATCGATCTAATTTCTGGGAATGGGGTCTAAGTATTTTCACCTTTCACCACTCAAGTGTGCTGTCTAGTCAGATGCCCCCTTCTCCTCTTCATCCCTCCCCCTCCCTAAGGAGCAGATGATAGAGGTTGGATAACTGTCAGCAGATGAAACAATGGCTGATAAATATCAATTAATAATTTCTATAGCTACTGACAGAAATTTACTGAAATGATACAGAGTATCATCACCACTTGATGTAAAAAGATCCCAAGGTTGAAGACAGCCAAAATCACTGCATAAGTGACTGATTTGTTTCTCTAATCAGTGCCCAAAAGGCTGAAGCCCTTTAGGACACCAGGTTATATCCAAGAATTTAGTGGTTTAAAGCAGAAACTGTGGCCATAAACTGAACATAATTTAAAATTATTACAGGTCCAGTTAAAATTTAACTGCCATTTGGCAAGGAGCCAGTCTCAATGGCACAAAGAAACTATTTTTTTCTGCGAGTTTTTATCTGCTTCCAGGGCTGACATTACATTTGACTTTATCCCTAAAGACAAACATTCTGAACAGATAAATAGTAATTTATTAACAAATGAACATAAAGCAAGTGGTTACTTTACCTGTGTGGTAGGGCACCCGACAGCAACATTCTGGGCAACATTGGTGCACTTTAACAAGTCAAAGAAAAACAGGTTTGGCTTGTTTCTGAAAATTGTGGGAAACATGTTCAAAATGATTTTTAAAAAAATCAGCTTCATATATCATATGCGCTGTACCAATCACATAAATAATCTGAATAGGATTCCTACTGACTTACGTAATTTGATATACAGTGTTTTGTAAATTCTTCATTCAGATTCATAAATACATTTATTTACACAGATGGGCACATCTTTTCATTTACAATATGAGAACTGAACTATTAACCCCTTGATCACATCATCAATAAACCAAATAAACCTTTCTGCCTTCATCCAAGGTTTCACTGAATTTTACTCACACAAAATTTCCATAACCACACAGGTTTCCCTCGGAGTCAGACGGGTATATCAGGACAGTAGGATCCCCTTCTTTGTAGCCTGCAAGAAATACATAAAAAACTTTCTTTTAAATTTGTGGTGTATAATATACCTATTCACTCTCATTTATTCCTTGCCAAAGCAGTTAAATATGTCTCTACAATGAATTGAGATAACTGACATGCACACCCAAAAAGTTAAAACAGACATGTTAATTGCATTTTGTTTTTGCTTTTTTAATTCAACAATAGCTAATGATCAACAAAAATTAATACCACTGCTACATAAATTTTCTTCTAATAAGCACTACCTAGTACTACTGTACTGCAGGAAATTCTCTCAATTATATTCTGACCTGCAGATCTAGAGCTATTAACAAAGGTCTGATGGGGGGGGGGGGGGTCGCTGGGCAAGGAAAATTAATTTTTTAGGGCAAAAGTGCAGAAAACAATTATTATTATTATTATTATTATTATTATTATTATTATTATTATTATTATTATTATTATTGTGTTCAATGTGGCGCACTAAGCTATGAACAAGGGAGGTGAAAACAATTATCTATCTTGACAGGCATAACTGTGAAACTGGATGAATAAAACCCTAAGCAGATCAAGTGGGTTGCGTGACTTGGTTGAATATTATGTGAAGAGGTTGACACCTTGATACTGGGTTATGTGACACTAAAAACAATTTTTTTGTTATATGGTTTTGGATTGCTGTCAATGTCCCCTGGTTAAACGTTGTAACTGTTTGGGAGGAATGGTATCCATACATGACAGACTATATTTGTCCAATAATACAGAGCATGATGCAAATCTAGAGGCATCTTTATATCTCCATAGCAACACTTGGTCAATTGCTATGGTGACATGTCCAATAGAGTGAAAGCTTTTAGTTAGCAATCAAGTATTTCATGTCCATACAAGTAAACAGAACGATTTCATTATGTTTCATATAATTTAAAACATTATCATTTGATCACTATCATTTTATCTGGTTTGAACTGTTATAATGTATGCTTGTCAAGAAACTGAGTAAACTTTTGCATTATTATTCTTTTTTTTTTTTTCGGGGGGGGGGGGTCGGGGGGGGGAGATTTTGATGGGGAACAAGTAGCCAAATTTTCAGAAACAACTGCTGTATGAAAAAAGGTGTCAGAGACAAAAAGTTTTTTTTCTGTTATTACAAAAACAATGGCCATCACATAACAGACATAGTTGTTTGCCTGTGGACCAGTTCCATAGTTATACCGACCACAAGCCAGGCCTGTGCATGCGTGATAAGAAACTGATTTGTTCACATGCAATTCTTACCAAGAAAGTTTACAGTGCAGTGTCTCAATATTGCAAATGATCATACGAATCAAATAATTTATCATACAAAAGAGTCAGATGGCACACAGTGATTTATATATACAGCATATCTGAGCAATGCTTTTTTAATGAGACATGTGTCACACACAACTGTCACATGTTACAGCTGTGTTCTAGAGCACAAGAACCCCAGGAAACAAATACTGAACAATTATTTATGGAACTGGAGACATGGAAGCAGCATGATTTATCACAGTCTCAAATGAACTATTGATTATTTGAGATAAGACACTGGTAATGCACAGGTCTCTTATCTATGTCGCAAATCTTTGAATTATATAAGATTAACAACTGCCATCTCTTGGCAATGCTTATAAATATCAAATCAACAGAAAAATATTACTTAAAAGACAAGTTGCTTTTTTTTCAATTTATAAATAACAAATATAATATTTCATCTTCATTTATGCTGCATACATCTTATAAAATATATTTATTATTATATATATATATATATCATATCCTCTACTACTACATATTATTATTATATATTATGTAATATCATACATACCCCCTTCGACCCACCCGCAAGTGTTAAAAAGCCAGTTCCAATCCAGATGTATGCTGTTAGTGTTAGGCTTTATCATGAATAATACAATCTAATATATTATTTCATTTCTTCAATACATCTCTGCCACTACAATATTCTACCCCTAATTCTAAAAAATTCTGCTTGGAATTCAGGTCACTCTTGGTACTCACCCCAGTAGCCCACCACACCCATTCCCAGGAAAAATATGATAAAAAGGATGCAGCATATTACATCTGTGCAGCCCCTGGAAAACAACAGCAATATTCAGGCATTGACAGAGATAAAACTGTAGGCTTTTTGCTAAAGACTATGTACAACTATTTATTTCAAATTATATTTATAAATGATGAATTTATGTTTAATACGATGGTTAATTGAGAATCAACTTATTATTTTAGCTGGTTAATTGAATTACCTTTCTTTCCAAAAAAATTGACAAAATTATCAAAATTAAAAAAGAAGACTGCTAAATATAAACATTTAACCCAAAACACATATTTGAACAAAGATGTTCAGGATTTATCTTTTCATTTCAAATATTTATATTCTACGTAAACAGGATGTATATATGGCCAATTTTAGTTGATCTTTCAAAACATTCCAGGAAGTTAAATCATTCAAAATCAATGTTAAATATACCCACCTGTTCTTGATAGGTCCATTGAAAGTAGGATCAAACTTGGCAGGTTCACCTGAAATTACACAATTTCATAATTTTATCATAAAAGTTGAAGCTTTTTATTTGCTACTTTTCTTTTTAAACATTTTATATGCAGTAAAAGGCATATTTATACACTTGTTTCCTGGCAAGGCTTTTGTAAACATGTTGCATTTTTACGAAAAAAAAGTAATTGGTCACTAACAGATACATGTATGTCTAACTCCCCTCATTTTCTTACATCAAACCACCCTATGTCATTAATGTAATACAGAGAATAAGTTGCTCTTCATAAATCACTTCAAAAGAAGAAAAAAATATTTTATTTTACATTTGTCTTTAAGATTATATGCAGCATAAAGGGTATAGTGTAGATAATGAACATGTACTGGTACTTAATCACACTGCAGTGATGTTTTGTCAGCGATAAAAGCTTTTAGCTGATTACTATCAATGTTGAGTAGATGACATAGCACCTGCTAGCACTACATGACACCTCCACTCTGAGTGGTACACTTAGAGCAATTTACTCAAGCTTTTCAATGGAAAAAATTATGAAATTTTCAGATACATAATTTTATAATCACATAAAAAATTTTTCTATGCAGCTTGAGGTGCTTTTACTGATGGAAATACAGATAAGCCTGCTTTTGAATTTTGTTACTACCACTTAATAGAAAGTTTCTAATTTTAAGAAATTATGACTTAAAATATACAGTATCTGTAAAATTCACAGTTTTCCCCCCATTGAAAAGATCAAGTGATTACCGTATACCTACCACCAGGATATCACTACACAGATGACATTTTAGACATGCAGCCATTGTACTTCAACCACACATTCCTTACTGCATCACAGCACCTACTATGTCTACCTTTGTTGAATATATACTAGTCTCAGATTAAGTTTCAAAAATGGGATCACATTTGATGTTTTAAACACATCAAATATATGAATATGTGGTAACTGATCACATAATTTTTTCAAGAAGTTTGGAACTGATCAACAGAGCACATGTATTAAACAATACATGATATACAGTGTGCGTGCGTGTGTGTCTGTGTGTGTGTGTGTGTGTGTGTGTGTGTGTGTGTACATACAGTGTTTCCCCTGGCTTTCAAGCTCTATGAGGTGGTAGGCAATTCGCAATCCCAGCAAAAACTAGGGGGGTTCAGGGGCATGCCCCCCTGGAAAAATTTTAAAATTTGGTGCAATTTGGTGCATTTTAGGCCATTTAGAACTGTTCTGTTATGTAACATTCACACCCATACATGCAGGGTGCTTGTGTACTAGTACTTAGTACATACGCATCTAGAAAAGATGACTAAGATATGTATATGCGTGAGTCTGAAAAAGATTGCGCCATCAACCAGTAAAAGACACATCTATGTTTTACCCTATCAGGACAAAACAATTTTTACCCTTTATGACTTTACAGCCATGCTGAAAAATAAGCTGACCTTACCATAATATATCAGATGTATATCATATGGTAAATGGGGCCAACTCTAATCATCAGATTAAACCAATAAACCAGTGATTTTATCTGTTAAACGAGCCTTTTATATATCTGGTTAAATTTGTGAACCATTCAACATTTACCTGCTCAGTTACAACATGAATCTTTTGATTAAAAATAAGGGCCCTTTAGTTTTATTATCTCCACAGATTTATTTGATTTATTGAATAAATTTATTGGATAATTAATTATCTAAAATTTTTCCTCTCATGTTAGCTCACTTTAAAGGGTCCATATGTGCCTGTTCAGGCAAAAGCATGAGATCTGAAGCTCAACAAGGGTATCATAAACTTTTACATTTGTGCAATTTACAATATATATCAAATACAAACTTTATTTTAAGTAACTACATGTTATAAAATCACATTTATTTTTTATCTTACAAAAATTTGAAAAAAAAAAGTCACTTTCTGGACTGGGTGCAATTATGACTGGAGGGGGGTGGACATTATTCATCATCGATATTTGTATGTTCTTATTATATATATAGGGTGAGTGACAGTTAACTCCTAAATCATGTAGTCACTCAGGAGATCATGACAGGCCACATAATACAGTTCGTGACTCTTACTAAACTGTGTAATTATGCAGGTCAATAAAAACGTTGTAATAACATACCTGTCAAACAGGTGATTCAGCCCCAAGACTTAACCATGACGCACATGTAGGTCTGAGTCCCCTCATACAGAGAAGATTTAATGCTTATATCCTGTTTTAAAAATGGATTCAGTTTTACCTTTTTTCTTGGAAAAAGAGATGAATCAATCTTCTAATCAGGGCCACTTGTTTATTTCAGAAAAAGATTCAAATAATTGAATGAATGATTCCATAAAGTAGAACAGGTGGTATTTTTGTCCTTCAAATCGATTGAATTTTTTAGTACTGTTGAGCCCCTACTAGTATCCAAGCTAATAATAAAAAGCCGATGAGGAATTAAAATGAATTCCCAAAAATATTTACTGGTAAAAGAGCAAGCGCTATGACCTCATTTTAATGCCAAATAAGCAATTATCATACACTGTGAATTATCATACACTGGTTACCAAGTGTATGAAAATCATGCACAAAATTGTTCACTAATTGTTCAATAATGATATAACATGCAAAACCATATGTCTACAGTATACACATAGGTATATGATTAAATGGTCCCTAAATGGATGTTATGGTCACGCCCAATTCAATATAATTTACTAGTACTGACCACGATTGGGTATATTTGTCTAACATACAAAGATATATATATATATAGTTATGCCATATATGGGTCACAATATGGCTGCTGTGACAACTGATTGGCGTTACCATAATACGCTGCCGTATACTTCATTGATCCTATTCAAGTTCCAGCCTGCTGGTCTATTGTCACTCTAGTAGCCATTCTTAACCACATCTAATATGTATAGAATTACACGGTTCCTGTTTTCACATTCTTTTTTAAAATTCCTACTAAGCTTCAGTGTAAGTTCAATGATAGCCCAAATGTTATTATATTCAGACTGGTGTTTCTTAATCATATGGCAACCTACTCTAATTTAATTTCAAAATATTTACGTTTTATTTACATTGAATTTTGTTTACTAATGCAAATGGGGAAAGAGCTTTTTGAATAAAACATACGAGCACCTGATGTGCATCAAAAATACATGGAATTTTTTCCTCAATGCAATCACATAGCAAGAAATCACATAAATAAACAAAAGCATATGGACTAATTTCCATCCCACAATAATATTTACTTCAGTTTTCTGGAAACCTTTATCTCAGTCTGTTTACTCATGCATGGCAGATTATAGCAATAAACAAATAACCTGACGGTTACTAATTGCTGTATATCATATATAAGGTAACTGTTTTAGTGATACTGCCACCTACACCATAAACCCAGAACTTAGCTGACTATATCCAGACACTGAAAATCAAAGGCTAAAGTCTTGGCCCCACCCCACATTATCATATATTTATAAATACCCACATATTAACAAACACATGATCTATTCATCCCCTCAATGTTGATTGTTCAGAAAGTTTTGGTTCATGTTGGGCCAATGCTGAACAAGCCTGACAATTTTCCTCTTTCACAACCATAATTGATATCAAACTGTGACAAGAGAAAGCTATATATGACTATACAGGTACCTATACACATATATATAGAGCTATATATATACACACATATATCTATTTAGGTTCTCCACAATTTTGGAGGAATTTTCCAGGACCAACTTTGACACCCTCATATAATATTTACACTTTGTCACTAAATCCCAAATGCAAATGTTTTATGATGTAATCCAGACATTCAAAGCCATAGTATTCTACTTTACCTAAACTGATACTGTGTTTCTGAAATTACTGCCATATCTTTATTTTTGACCTCTCTCTCTCTCTCTCTCTCTCTCTCTCTCTCTCTCTCACACATACACATACACACACACACAAACATGCATGAATGTACGCATACACACATTTGCATACATACCAGAATATTGCCAAGCTAATCAGGTGAAATATGACTGTTCAGGTATTTCTACATCAGGTACATAAAGTGTACTGTACAGGTATATCAAGGATATACAATGTTACTTTTGTAGACATCAGGTATACACAATATACAAGTTTATCACTTACTATTATACACAATATTTAAAAAACTTAAAAAGAAATAATATATATTCGACATAAAGTTATTTTATGTGTGTGTGTGGGTGCCCAAGTACAGTACATGTTTGCTTGTTTGTGTCCCAGCGTAACTGTGTTTGAAAGAGAAAGAGGAAGTGAGAGATGCAATTTGGGGGCTTGGGTTTAAATCACTGCCAAAATAATGCATGAAACACTGCTCTTAACCTCTTTCTGGCATTTTAATAAATATTAAAATATTCTTGAAAGTTACAATTAAAACAAGATAGTTGTCACAACAGTGAGACTGGGTACTTTCCCTACAAATATGGCACGATACCAACAGTTGTATCATGCCCTTCTGTTTTATACAAGAGATTTTCTACAACATGCAGCTCAGTTTGTTTAGAAATGGGTCTCAATCCAATATTATACCAACAGAAACCAGAGAACACTGAGTCATATCTCTTCATGCCAATGTCTTATCTGCAGAGCACACCTGAGCACAAAGATATGCCATGTGCCATGATCATCTGACATTGACTTCCCTGCCTCTATGCTGATGTTAAGAGGTTTTTTCNGCAGATGATGGCAATATGTACAGACATCTGTGTCTGTACATAAAAATAAGGGCCCTTTAGTTTTATTATCTCCACATATTTATTTGATTTATTGAATAAATTTATTGGATAATTAATTATCTAAAATTTTTCCTCTCATGTTAGCTCACTTTAAAGGGTCCACATGTGCCTGTTCAGGCAAAAGCATGAGATCTGAAGCTCAACAAGGGTATCATAAACTTTTACATTTGTGCAATTTACAATATATATCAAATACAAACTTTATTTTAAGTAACTACATGTTATAAAATCACATTTATTTTTTATCTTACAAA